CCAAAAACTGTTGGTTTGAATAATAATGCAATACGTTTTGATTTATCCTGTGATGATTTATTATGTTTGAACGAGGGTGAATTTCTCAATGACAATATCATCGACTTTTACTTGCAGTATAATCATGATATTTTTTTAAATAAAACAATACCTGTATATTGTCTATTTAATAGATATATTTATTACGAAAAACTTTCTGAAGAAGATCGTAAACGTACATATTTATTTAACTCATTTTTTTATACAAGATTAACACGAAAAGGCAATGATGATATTCTCAATACTTCGTAAGTTTAGTTTTCTAATATTTATATTAAACAGAAAATTAGAATACCTTTATACAATCATAATCTTAAATATATTTTGTATTGTCATTAATATTATAATAGTATCTTTGAAAAATATATAATCATAAACAAAAAAAATAGCAACGATTCCGAATAAAATAAATGCTGAGTAATCAAAATTTGTTATAATCATCAACAATTTGTACATACGGCTTTGTAGATCACTTTTCGCACAATGGTCAACATTTTTCGATTTATGTTACGAAAAGCTCTGACTTTGATCAGAAGGCTAACCTTACTTAGAGTTCAATTGTTTGGCTCCTAGATGCAACACTTACTAATCACGCACTAGTTATACGGACCAATTTATATAACTATCTAGTCAGTATGTCCATCGAACGGATAATTCAAGACAAATAGCCGTTAGTAACTGATCCAGGATCATTTTAGAACTGGTGGCATCGAGATTTCAATTTAATAGATTGTGAATATGTGACCACTCAGCCATCTCGGCTCAGTATTAGAATGTTTTAAACTGTTTATTTTTTTTAATCAGAAAATGAAACGAATGAAAGGAAGAGAAACCGATTGTGAAAGATCTACCTGATATTTTCTAAACTATGGTACTCTTCTGATGCTACTAGAATAAGATATATGCTATTAAAAGGTAAATTTCGTAAATTCCTATAGTATATTTATTTTTGTCTCCATGAATATTGAGTATGAATTGATGGTATCTTTATGTTATAAAATATTTTATGTTAAAATAAAGGGCTGCTGAACGACGTTATAATCGTGTTAAACGATGGCTTCGTGATGTCGATATATTTTCAAAAGATTATCTTATTTTACCAATCAATCAAACAGCTCATTGGTATATTGTAGTCATCCAATATCATAATAATGTTCCAACAGAAGGTGATTTAATCAGTGATGACGATGATAATCATGGTAAGACATTAACAGGTAAAATTGAATTTATATCAGAGTAGATTTGAATGAATACCTGTTTACAGATGGGGTCAATAGAAAATCGCATAAAAGTTCTGTTTTTATAAAAATGTCTATTGAGAATCGTTTTGAAATTCATCAGTATTGAAGTTCAAAGAACTTGGCATAACTCATCTGGAGTTTGAATATTTTTTTTTAAATATGTTTTTGTTTTCTCATTTAGACAATCGATTAAGCTTGAAAAAGAAGAAAAATACGGAATGTATAATTGAACCTATTGTTAATAATAATATTCCCGGTGAAGCATCGTCATCTTCAACATCTAATATTCATCTAATTGAAGTTCTTGATGAAGCAGATGAAGTCATAATAGACAATAATAATCATATAAAAACTGATAATGAAACAACTACTAATCCTAAAAATCGTTCTCAAACACCAGCAATAATTATGTTTGATTCATTACGTTCTGGGTCAAAAAATCGTGTTGCAGCTACTTTACGTGAATTTCTTCAACTTGAATATGATCATAAAAAAACTTTACCAGTTAGATCATTAGCAAGAAAAATCTTTAATATAGATACAATACCAACTATTGAAGCAGCTGTACCACAACAACCGAACTATTTTGATTGTGGTTTATATATTTTACAATATATGGAAAGTTTTTTTGCACATCGTTCACCAACAATTAATTTTCAATCATCATCAACATTTGCAAATTGGTGTGAAAAAAATTCAATGGGTTCATCAAAACGAAAACAAATATTTGATATTATCAATCAACATGTTATTCCTAAAGAAGTGTAATCAATCAATGTTGTTTATTTAACTTCATCGTCGTCATCATCTTCTATCTTTCATATTCTAGTTGTCCGTGTTACACTTCCTTTTTTTTCTTGTCTTTTTGCTACATATACATTTATTTTTTTTTCTTGGATGTCATAAAAAAGAAAAGACTAATACAGATAAAACACTGGAAGTTGGTCATAAATATATTTGTTGATATATTATTTACTCTAGACAGTCTTCATTTTTTATTACATTTATCAATACAAATATGGCCTCAGAACAACGTAGACATGGCGATAAAAATAGAAAACAGGTATAGAATATTGATTCAGAATGTGCAGGATGTATGTTTATTGATTAGGATTTTAGAGATTCAATTGTTTTTCTTTATTATTCAATATATTATTTGTTAATTATTATTCGAATCAATTGAGATAACTTTTTGTACTTATGTTCAAAAAAGCGTATAACCATTGAAGTATGCATGTCACTCATAAGAATGGATATGAATACTAAATGCTGCTGTTAATTTGAAGTGTTTCATAATGAACAAAATTTTATTTGATTCTCTTTCTTAAGAGAGAGTTAAAGACATAATCAACGTTTGATTTAAATTTTCTTGAAATGAATAAATATGAATGAAAAATAAACTTCCTTTGGTCAAAAAGTGCACATGAGAGTATTGGCGTTGATTATACGCCAGCTCGAACTTTACACTTCTCAAAGTTTTTTAAAAATATCTTAAAAGTCATTGTAAGCAGAAAACTAAAAATGAAAAAAATCATTGTACAAAGAAGATTTTATAGAATATTTCTTCTTTTAAGAATCCAAGAAATAAGACCACTACTGGTCTACCAAGAGAACCTTCTGATTTGTCAACATTTGATAAACTCATGATGTATTTCACAAAAACTAATCCAGAATATTCAATGTAGGTCAGTGAAATTGGATTGCTTATTATGAATATTTATTTTCTTAATAGATCGAATTTTACTGAAGCTTTATATGCTTATCGACAAGAACGACAAACATTAGCTGGACTTTCTTTATCACAAATTGAAGAAGGTGTTTTAAATATTGTTCGAAGTAAATACCCGTCAAAGCAAGTTAGTTAACATTTTTTTTTCTATATTCAAACTATGATTTATGTTTTTACTCTTTTTGAATAGAACAATATTGATACAAATCAAATCGAAGTAAATCATTTTTTATCTCATAAATTATCTGATCTTTTCTAGTTCATTTTTAGAATTCAGTTGAAGACAACACTGAACAATCTGTTACTGCTGCACTTTGGAGCACATTTAGACGTTATCGAGAACGTGAACAATTATCAAAAAAAACAGAACATAATACTACTACTAATAATAATAATGAACCAGCAATAACCGAAGATCAATGTCTTATTTGTCTTGAAAGTTTAAATTCCAATAAAACAGAAACATTTCCATGTAATCATACATTTCATCGAATATGTCTTGAAGAATGGTTTAAAATCGAACGAACATGTCCTCTATGTCGTAAAATGTTACTTTTCAATGATGAATTTCCTGCTTTGATGTGATTCCTTTATAATTATTCATACATAAATATTCATAGAATAAATAAAGTTGAATTACTCATTTTACTGAATTTCAACTGACTATTATATCTACATTGTTGACTTTCTCGGTTCTCTTTTTTTTTCTTGTTCTTACATTTCAATAAAAAAGACAGAAGAAAAAAAATGTCTATATATATATACTGATCAATACTTGTCGACAAAGAAAAAAAAATGCGTCATATTATGAAAATAATTCTGGCAGCATAGTAAAAGAAGGACAAAGTGGCGACGAACGAAAGTTCGATGAAAAAATATTATTCAAGGTAGAACGAGAAAAAAAATCAGCGTAATAGAAAGTTGAACAGAGAAATAAAAAGAAATCTAAGTTGTATATTAAAAAAAAAGGTCATGGTCTTCAGAAAAAAAAAGAGAACGTTGGTGGTGATGAGTAAGATGGAGACGAGAGAAGAAATAAAAGAAGAAAAAAAAGAACTAAAATATACTTCGTTTTTGACATACACAAGGCGACAGAAAAAAAGCAAGAAAGAAGAAGAAAAGAAAATTTTATAAATACTTCAACTATCATGGTCGTTGTCTCGTTTCTACAGCTGATATCACTATTACTACTACTGATCTGTTGCACAATCGGTAAAAAAATTATTAGAACTTTTATATTCTTTACAGTGGTTTTTTTTTACATGCCTAGTAGGAAAAGGAGAAGGAGATGTTAATCGTCAGCGACGACAAGGAGTCGATGGAAATAATCTTAATACAGGTATTTTATCAAGAAACTCGGATAGATTCATATCTTCGAATAATGTTCAATTTATTCCATCGAATAATCCAAATATGGCTGTCTCTAATGATCGAAATAATCAACAGCAATCAAATAATAATTTATTAGCATCATCTCAAGGACAAGCACCAATAGTTCGCAGTCGTGGTTTTTATGATAGTCCAGCATTTAAACCACCATCATTTTCTGGTGAAAAACCAGTCGGTTGGTTCGATACAAAATATCCAAATTGGGTATCAAATCAGAATGGACAATTAGATCAGAATAATGTGGTTAATGGAAAAAATGGAGCACCAAGCAGGTAAATATAAAAATTACTATATTTTTTTCCATCGAATGATTCTATTCATTGTCTATCACAAATAAGTCTTCAAGGCAAATTTATTCAACCAAACAGAGAAGATGGTGGACCAGCGCTTCTTCAAAAAGTAGCTAAACATTATGCCAGCAAAGGTGACAAAGCATATAATTTCGATGGCCAACATGGTAAATAGTTTCTAAAGAAAAAAACAATTTGTTTTTTGAGCTAATGGAATTTTATTTTAATAAACAAAAAAAGGTCGTGGCTCTGTTTGTTATAATGATCAAAATTATAATGGATATACATTTGGTAAATTTCGATGTCCATTACCAGCCAGTACTGGTATGAATCAACACGATGAATATTGTTGTGGATCTGCAAATTATCAATATTGTTGCAATGCACAGTTTGTATTTATCTAAATTTTCTTCAGAATATTCTATGATTCATTTTTTTTAAATAGAGAATTCCGTCAAGGTCAAAATGATGTATTTGATAATAATCGTCATTCGAGACATTATCATCATTCACGAACATTAAATCGAGCTCTTGCTGTTATATTACCTTTTGTTGGTATTCTTGTGATAGCAGGTGCTGGTATTATTATCTTTTTCTATTATAAAAAACTTCAAAAAGAACACAATAAACATAGTAAATCATCTGCTGTTACTCGATTGAATGATAATTATTCAGGTAAATTTGTATAACAATTTTTAAAAAAAAACACTAAAATAAAACAAAAAAAATTTCATTTAGCCATTCCTCAAGATGCACCCGTTGAAAGACCGATAGTTAATCAACATGAACAGCAAAATACTTCTGTTCAAGCTTAATATTTGAAATTGAAAATATGTACATTTCATTTGAACTTTTTTTTTAGCTAGTCTAAACACATTTACTAATCTTGGAACAGTGTTTATATTGAATTTTTTTGTTTTTTACTCTCATTATGTATTCTATATATATGTTTTGATTTGAAAAAAGAATCTCTGTTCATTTCATTTGATCCATATTTTTATTAACAAATGAAATTAATTTTTTTATGAAATTTTATCTTTGATCAATTGAAATAATGCTTTACAGAGAATTTTCACTTTTGTTTTATTATCTTTTTTTTTTTTTAAGTTAGACTTTTATTCGTAACAAACAATATATGTTCAAGTAATTTTTCTTTATCTTTATTTAATAGACAAAAATTACAATTTTGTTATAAAACTGATATATTACATAACATATGATTATAGGATTATTTTTTTTAGTTTTGAATAATAAAATCAATAAAAAAAACTAATCTACTTTCGTCTTCTTGTTTGGTTTTCATTTTTGGATATTATTCGACGTTGATTTCGTTTGACTGATGAAGCTTGACAAATATTTGAATTATTCATAGAAATTTCAGTATAAATTGATCTTGGATATATGGAATTACTTTGTGTTATGATGTTAGGTGTTAATGTTGATTGAAAATGCAACTTTTGTTGCTTCACATGTGGATGTAAAGAACAACAACCTGGTTGACCACACGGTTTTTGAATTTTATCATTGATATTTTCATTATTTGAAATTAAACTATGAATCAATGAATAGAATATACCCATAAAATTTATTAGAAACTTAACCGCGTTTTATTATTATTATTATAGATTTTTGATTAATATTAAAATTTTAATCAATTTTTAGGAAACGAAATAGTATAAGTGTAAAATCTGAAAGTTTCTTTATTTTCTTTTCTTTTCTTTCTGTATAATTTAAATTTCAATCTTATAATCAAATTCAAAAAATACTTTGTCATTTTCTTGTACTCATCAAGCCAAATAAAGGTTGCAATCCTAAAATAAATGCTGAATTATAAATATAGTGTTTCATTTTTTGTTTCAGTTTGAGTACATGTTTGTTAAGGTACACTGAACTATCTTATCATCGATATTAGAAATGAATATATTATTTAGTAATGATGCTTCTGGGCTTCATATGTGTTAACTAATGATGAGAGACAATAGTCAATATTAGTAACAACCTTTATATGGATTAGATGGATACTATTAGATCTAACTGTTCGACATCATTTTAAAAAATTAAGCAATGCACTTTTGTTTCGATCACAGAGGAGACTTAAAGGTCAAATCATTTTGTACCTTTTTTTTTTTTTTTATTAAAGTGCTCTCAAGATAACAGACAAATGATAAATCTCTGTTTGAGGGCGTCAAAAACAAATAATCTAACAAATACGGATTTATACGAACGTCACCTATAAGTTACAATGCAAGTAGCAAGGCATTTTATCTGTGACTATGTTGAACTCTTATGTGATGAATTCAAAGTAAAAGAACTTCCGAAACTGGATCGGACGAATGTCTTTGACTGTACAGTCATATAATCATCAAGCATACTTTGTTTTATCTAGTGACAAAAAGAAATTTTTCTTTACAAGTCTTTTGACAGTTTTCAGTAGTATCACTATTCTCAATCCAGAAAGGTATAAATGCAAAGACATATTCATATAAATAGTAATATGCACAACTATATTAACTAACTGTTTTGAATTACTATTGTTAGATAATGCATAGAATGTTTTTTACTACACTTTATAATTCTTATGTACAATATAAAAGAAAATGCAAATCGATACAAAAAAGAAACATTAACGCAATTCCTATGCGATTAAAATATGAAACACGATGTAACTATTGTTATTAATCACAGGAAGATTATTTTATTCCATCTATCTGGAGACACATTTTCTCACCATCTCTTTACTTAATTGTTGAGCAATGTGCAATAAGAAAGTAGTTCATATATTATAACAAGACATTATTGAATATACAGTCTGTAATTGTATATATCAACAACGTCTGTCACGCCTTTGAGCAATACAAATTTCTATTCTAATAAAAGGAATCAACTCAGAACTTGATTGATAGTACATTACTGTGAAAATGATCATTAATTGAATATAAAAGCATGTGAAAGCATTTCTGAAATCTAACAATCATAAAAATAGAAATCTTTATCACAAAATAATTCATACCTCCTATATCTGATCCAATACAATCGAATGAAAGTTTATAAACAGTAAAACATTTCGATTGTAAAAAAAAACGAACATAATTCCTCAAGACAATCTTTCTCTTTTGATGATCACTTTATGCAAATAGGTACGGAAAAACGAGTATATATGAAAGAATGTACACTTCGTATTTATTGGAAATGTTTGTATTTTTCCAAGCGAAATTGGAGAAATCCATAGACATCTTAACTCTTATTTGCGAAGGTCAAAAAAACACGATCATAAACGACCATTTATGGAGACATACGACGATATATAGGGTAGGTCATTAATAGTACTACAATAGAAAAATAAAACATCTGCGCGTCGATTTGATCAAATGGACTAATTTTTTGGTTAGTAATAGAAGCTTATTCAATGTTTTTTTTATACAGATAAGATAAGCAAACACTACTGTCAAGTATTATTTTTGGTATCATGAAAGTAATTTTACCTATTATCAAGAAAGAAAAATGCATTAGTGGCATTTCATAGGTTATTTTCAGTTGTCATTGTAAGAAATGAAAACCACATTGATCAATGATACTATATTGATGGACATAGAGCAAATTTTCAGAACTAGTTAGTTTAAAAATCAATTAGTAGACAATTTCAAACTTTCAAACATACAACACTGGTTTTTTTCCAAGGAAGATGGCACCCAGTGAACTGTAATAATTCGGTTTAGTTGTGTGGCATTTAAAATAACTACTATTTAGTTTTAAAAACTTTCTCTATATGCATCAATATAAATTGTTTTGATTTCTTCTGATTATTATCATAGATGACAACTAAAAATCATCTATGAAACGCTTCATATGTATTTTTCTTACATGATAATAAATAAAATTTGTTCTTCTACAATTCTTGGGTTGTGACGCAAAAATTGATTCGTGGAGTAAGAACAGCAGCAGAATGTCTCTGATCGCCCATAATGAATATAACTTTGTTTTCTACTTTTTATTATTTCGTCAACACTGAACAATGTTTTTCATTACTTGAAAAAGATATGCATAAATATTAGTTGATGACAGTAGCAAAGCGTCTAATATCTATAAAATCGAGAGAAGAACATTCAGTTGTTTTTGTCATCTATCAGTATGTTCTTATACAAAAGGTCTTATCTCATCTATGCTTTCGTATTCTTTTTATCTTATAAATATTCTGGAAATTATCTCATGTTTCCTTTTATCTAATTTATATTCTAATAACAGTATGCGGATAATTAACGGTAATGCTATGCAACAGTAAAGGTTATCGACTAAATTCACTCGTCTGAATGCCTGTTAATAATACATAAAGTAATTTTTCCGTCATATTCTCAACTATTCAACACTGTTCTTTTATAGCATTCTTAAAGTATTATTCCACTTTCGAGTCAAAGAAAATATATTCAAACGTTTATATATTTAGAATCAAGTACCGAAATATCAAAATTTCAGCTTAATACTAAAACTCTTTTAGTCACTGCTTCCTAGTACTTGATTCATCCTCGCTATATGTATTCAATTGCCACAGTTACGGAACTCAGTTCAGTGATAACTAGAAAGTAAAATTCCTGTTTCTATTATTAACTTTCATGTTATTTTTACTCGTATGACATTGTTACTCAGCACTGCTGACACCCTTCTCCTTAAAAAATAGCTTGGTCAACGTTGTAAACTATCAATTATACATAAGGATATATGCAATCTAAGTAGAAAAGAATCTCTAAAAATGCTTTTAATCGCTCTGATTTAGAGAGTTGCGTAAAAGAGTAATTTGTGGATTTGAAAACGTGCAGCAGTTTTTTCTCGTAATATATTGGCATGTTTTGCTGATAAAACGGTTTTTTTTATGCGCGTTATATGAAAAGAATATTGTAGGAAAACTTTTTGGACGTTTTCTAGATGCAAAAGTTTGCCTTTTTAAGCGATTTCACGTAATTTTTTTTTTGATGAAACTAGCTGGATTTGATGTTTTTTTTGAATGAATGTAAAAACGATCAAATGACAGTTGCAATTACAGTGCTTAAACGCGTTTTCAGAAGTATTTGTCTGTTTGAGTTTTAAAATAACACAAATAATAGATTGATGTCAATGTTAAGATATTTTTCTCTGTAAACACCAAGACCTCCTTATTGTTGGTTGCATCATGCTCATTGTTTTATTTCATAACAATAGAACATAGGTTACCATCAACACGAATTATCTTCAATAACACTGTCTCAATTTATAAGCAATCATCAGGAATATCAATAGTGTCTACTACAGATGTTGAAGTGTTGAAATCCGTTGTTTCTATCTCTCTATTACTAGGGCATGGCCAGGTACCGGTCAGCCAAACATGGACTGAGTTCATACTTAAAAGTAAAGAAGCATGATCAATAGTATTTTAAATAGAAATTTTTCTATTTCGGTGTAATGTTCAATGCTCATGATGTTCGAAAGTTTTCTTACAGTAGTCAACTTGAAAATTTGTTCAAACCATTGTAATGAAATACATTTTTAAACGACCATCAGTCATTAGAGAAATAATTTTTCAATTAGAGATTGGTCCATCGAACACAAAGGATTCTTAACACATAGCCTTTGTACAAACTTTAGATACCTGCAAATCAAGATAATGTGCTCAAAAATCATCTCTATTTATGATGAAGCTTCGTAATGAAACTCGCTTATATTGATAATTTTCACAACAAAAACAATGTCTTCAGACAAAAATCAACAAGTTACAACGAATAAATTCATTTTGAACACAGTTCAATTTAGTATTTGCATTCATTTTGCAGAAATATTGCGCTACAGAATTTCATTCGTGTTCGAATTTTGCAATGTTTTTAGACTATTAAGCGTTCTGTACTATTTTTGTCCATAAGTATGCACATCTTTGGATATATTTGGAATTAGCAACACATTCTGAATAAAACGGAGTATTTCGTTTATCAAAGCTTCAACTTTGATTTTTCTAAAAAAGACTTCTCCAATAGAAGAATTTTTTCTGTTGAATTCTAATGACAAATAAATTGTTTCATGCGGAACTCAATGTGAATGAAGAATACCTAATTAATTTGGACATTTGTTGCTTTCATTTTGATCCATATTGTGATTTTTGCAAAAACCGATGAAATTCTGTAACGAATACTATTTTTAGTTTCTTATTCAATACGAGTATGTTTGTTAAAAACTGAGTAACTTTTATATAGATAATATAGTTGTATGCCACATGATTTCGTAGTAAAACACTAAACTTTCAACTACGTTAAAAAACAATCTTTCATAACGACTAGTACTTTTTGAATAGCTCAATTTTGGGTAAAGAAATATTAAAGAGATTTTCGCTTCCAGTACATTTAGTTTTAGGGAATTTACTTTTGTCATGAACGATAAATACACATTAAAATGTAAAAAAAAAGAATGTGATTCCGTAACATTTGATTATGCCAATCATCAATAAAGACAAATGAATTGTTCTTTGTAAGTTTCTAGTGGTATTTTCATTTTGTCTTGAAAATAAAAACAAGGAATAAAATTTATGGTCAGTAAAACAAATGAAATAATTATAATATTAGTCACTTGAACGATTGATCAGTAAATTATTTAAACGGTCAGTTATTAATTGGGTAGGATTGTAAATAGATTAAAAAAATCAGTAAATATAGTTTATCAATACTCAATTATTTTAAAGGATCAATATTAAAGTTGACATAGTTATAGAGTGAATCACTTGTGCCCTTCTTTTCGTTTTTCTTCAGGTATTCTACATATATTTTCGTTTGTCTGGCCTGCTTCTTTTAACCTTTATATTTTGTGAATAAGACGAATAATTGTTTTTTTCATTCTTATCATCGTTCATTACCTAAAATAAACAAAAAGAAGCTTGTTAATTTCTTCTCTGGTCGTTGTTCTTATCTATCTTCATGCAGAAATATGTAGTGATTTCCAAATAAAAATAACATATTTCGCGTTTACAAAAATTTGATGTATTTGTAGCTATGAAAGTGGTACAAGTTTCTCAGTAAAGCACCAATCTAATAGATGAAGAGTTAGTAGAAGAAAATCATGGAATAAATTGAAATAAAAGAACCCTTTAAAATAAGGGAAACAAAATACATTTGATAATGTTAGTGAAATAATCCAATTTTCATTTTTTTTCAATAGTTCTGCAAATTTCTTATTTATGAGGAGCTTTTTGGATTTATTTAAATTTAATTTTTGATGATAAAACTTATTTTTCAATTGATCAATTTTGTATTTTTCACAGATATAAAATGAAAATTTTCATTGCTACTTATATATATAACGGACCATTTCACAATTAATTAATAGTGATTTTGGTAGCAAGCATTGAACACTTATCCTGACCACTTAAATGAGAGCCACGAAAAAAAAAAATTAGTAGCTTTGATTTATAGGTCGTTTGTCGTAATATCATATTTGTTTAGATTTGAACGTTTGTTAACATCTGTAAAGAGGCAATAATCACTGTAAAGAATTACATAACTGTAAAAAAACTTTACAAGAAAATGGCGAAAATAAAACAACATGTTATTTACATTTATTATGTTATTTTGGTTGTTCACGACACCAATGTTTTCTAGCAGTCTTAAATACTTTCAATACTTAAGTGAACTATTTTTCGACACTATATTGTGCGACTTGAGCTTTATGTTATATATACAGTTCAGTCATTTTTGATAACATATACTTTAAAGTAATCATTATTTTCCCATATTCATTGTGATCATCCGTTCTGCTCGATTCCTTTTCTTTTCTTTTATTTAATGCACACGCATTTTTATTATATTTAAGCATAGCAAGATATCTACATAAACATTAATATTTTATGAAGACACAGGTAAATGTTCGTATTCGACATCATATATGTATTCATTCATGCGCAAAGAAATATTACACGACTATAAATTATCGATTCATTTATTACAATGCCCATGACTTGATGTTGTTCTTTTAAATTACACTCATGAGTAGTTAGGTTGAATATGTAACGAAATGCTAATTAACAAAAAATGAGTAACACTATATATTTCAATGAAATATTTCTCTAAACATTATGTTTAAAATGACTTTACACTAGTGTCCTGCGGGAACGACTTTTTTCCCTAATTTTCCCATTCCCATTTAGACTTAGGGAATGGGAACATGGGAATGGGAACAGAATTAAAAATTGACGTTCCCAAAATTTTTTCTATCTTATTTCAATACACATAAAAATATTTCTATCTGATAACTGTTTATTTTCAATAACTTTTCTTATTCATATACAATTAACAGAAAAATAACAAATGTGTATCAGCAAAAAATAGACTGCTTATTGGTTCTTAACCACATCGTAATTTAATCATCACAAATATTGGCATTGGTTAAGCAGGTGTTCCTTCGTGTGTGTACTATACATGCAAGCTGGTGTTCCTTTTCATTAAAAAAGTGTTCCATCGTCTAATAAGAAAATGTATAGTCAACATAGTGTTCATCATATAGGGAGAATATTCCTTTTACGGTAAAGTGTTTCCCTCCCTTCTCCCAAATAGAAAATAAAAAAAATTATAAATAAATATTAAGGTTATTTACAACAAAAAACAAATGATTTATCAATAATAATCTCAATATTTATTTATAACTTTTTTAATTTTCTATTTGGGTGAGGGGAGGGGAACACTTTACTATAAGAGGAACATTCTATATGATGAACACTAGGTTGACTATACATTTTCTAATTAGACGGTGGAACACTTTTTTAATGAAAAGGGACACCAGCTTGAATGTATATGTATAGTGCATATACGAAGGAACACCTGCTTAACCAATGCCAACAAGAGCAACAAAACAGGAAAAGAAAAGAAGTGAAGCACTATGTAACAACGTCGCGATGCAAAAAACGTGATGTCTCGAGAAACTGGTATACATATATGCCAATGACACTTTCGCATAGATGAATAGAGCCTTGGAAAGCCTTATGGGAATTATGGGAATGGGAACGTGGGAATGGGAACAAAAAAAAATTTTTAGGGAATGGGAAAAAGGGAATGGGAACAAAAATTTTTTTTTAGGGAATGGGAATAGGGAATGGGAATCAGAAAAAGTCGTTCCCGCAGGACACTACTTTACACTCAACAACATACATTGTATACTATATACTTCCCTTCCTGTCATAGTCATTATTTGATCGTGATACGGAAGAAGATAACATCCTATTTACGTAGTTATTGCTATTAATATCTTAGTTTTTTGTATGACGATCGAAGCATGACTAAGCAAGAAGAAAAATGTCTAGCTTGGTTTACCTTATTTTTACCTGTTGTTAAATTACTTAAAACTTAATATCTGAGCAAGTATATAATATCGAGATTAGAATCTTTATCGGTTTTTATTATTTAGTTATTTATTTAAATAAAAGAAGAGAATTTACTCATGTTAAATATAAATATCATCTTATTTGAAAGAAAAGAAATATTTTTCTCTGATATAACTGGTAGACGACTTAATATATAGTGTTAAATACACAAAAACTCGAAGTATAACTATTAGAAATTTCTATGAAAATGCTGAATTATATTCAAAATAGTTTTGCTACAGTAAAATCTTGAAAAACAAGTAAACACTTGAAATATAAAGCAATGAATACTTCTCGTTAGATGTAGTTCTACTACACAAAAAAACTTTATTGAGTATAACTAATCGGGTTAATTAATCAGTTATATATGGTACCCATCACCGAAAAACAAATAGAAAAAAAAAAAATGTTAAATTTTCAAATGTAAAATTCGATCTTTAAACGCTTGGAAATGAAGACGTCGGTCTTTGTCTGCTTTTTCGAACACTGCTCGATTTTCTTGAGCTCGTCGAAATAAATATGGTTGTAATGATTTCATTGGTCCATATGGTAAATATTTATACGTTTTATACCCAGAGTTTGCTACAAAAAAAACTCATATTATAAAAATAGCAATAATTTTTTTCATAATTACCTAAAGCAAAAGCAACATAATCACTCATTCCATAGAGTGATGCAAACGAAATCAATGATGAATCATGATTTATATTATTATCTTGCATTCTAAATAAGCAAGAAAATTTAACAAACAATCTAACAAACTTAATTTCATACATACTTTTGAATAGTATATCGAATAGTATCTTCATTGTGTGAAGCAACCATAACTCGAACTTGACCTGGATTACGTTTGGTAATACTTTTCAATACTTCATCAAAACATGCATGATACATTTTAGATGTAGCTTCAAAATTCTCATTGATTGGATCTTCATATTTATATTGTTGTGCTAATTGACGTTCTTGTTCCATATAAGCACCACGTACAAGTTTAGCAGCAAATACATAATTATATTTTTCGGCTTGAGCAAGATCATGTCTTACTGAAGTAAATGTTTCCTATTTATTATTAGCAAGTAAATAAGAAATAATAGAGACGTAAATTAAAAGGTCATTTACTTTTAAATAACATTGATATGTTCCATAAATAAATGCTTCATTGTTTTTATTATAATATCGTTGTAATTCAGCTGCGAGATAATTAATTGCAGTTTGAAAATAAGTTTGTTCAGCATCAATCATAATTGAAATTTTATGTTCAACACATGCCTAAAAAAATTTTCTTTTTAGAAATCAATAAGTAAAAAAAATGTACATCTTACTTGAGCTATTCGATTTAAACGGATGAGCAATTTATAAATTTCACTTAATTCATCATTTGTAAGGATTATACTTGTTGATATTTTATTCTAAAATTATCCAAAAAACAAAGCCATATTCATTTATAGAATATCATTCTTTAATTGTAAACAAAGACATTTCAAAATCTTTCATATGTCAGATAGTACCTTAGTTTCTGCTAAATACGATTTGATTGACTGTTGAAATGGTTTAACCACGTTCTCACTTTTCTGTTCTTGATTGATAAACTCAAATAAAGGTGGTAGTAATGAACGATTTTCAATAGATTTTAATAAAGCATTGAGTTTTTTAAGTACACCGGGTCTTATAAGAGCAGTTACTTTTATTGCAACGAAATTATTTACTCCACAAACATCATGTGATGTTTTGATACATTCAATAAATTTACTGGTATTATGATCATGCATACGATCGTTCTCCTCTGACCTATGAATTTCAATAGACCAATTCAAAAACAAATCTTTGATAAAGAAAATTTATGTTAAAAAAAAAACTTACGCTGCTGATAATTCACCTGTATCATCACTTTCTACACTATAGTCTAGAATAGGTTTGACACCATATTTTAGTAAACTTTTAATAACAGGTATAATTTCTTGAGGAGTTTCACCGCCAACAAAATGTCCAAAAGAAGTTAGTTTTAGAAGACTGTTAAATAGTCCAGTACCAAGAATACGTTGACCCCATTCAGCAATCTAATAAAATTGTATTTACAAAAAAAATTCTTTAGTCATTTATCTAACGAATTTACTTTAGCTTGATTATTAACAAGAAAATTAATTGAAAATAATCTATAAACAAGATAACCACGTAAGAGTTCAATACTACGTCGATAACGATAGGCTATTTGATATTGATTAAATCTTGTATCAAGTAATGGAAATTCTGAATCAATGGTTTTTTTCTCATTCTTATCTGTTGTTAAAACAGTTGTTGATTGAAAATAAATTTGCTTTGTCAGTAATTGTCTAGCTCGACATGAGCCAATAATTGACGTTGAAGGATATAGACGCTTTATCTAATCAAAGAAAACTTGCTTACAACTGCTAATCTTCTTTCATAAAAGAACGGTGGATGCGGACTGCTAACATAAAGCTTTCTTTTGCGTATTAAATTATATAAAAAAAGATTGCCGACTGAATCGATACGCATATATATCTATATACGTCTATATATATATGTTTATCAATTCAATAAAGCAGAGCAATTTACACATGACGCACACACCCCCTTCTTGATGGTTTTTTTTCTTTTATGAATAATCGCAATTGCGAAAGAACGAGAAAGATCGACAGTTTTTCCTGTGTACAGTCACGAAGAAAACTAGAAAACATAGTTTTTTATCCGTGACATATCATCACAAAATTTTAATTCATAGTCAAAGTAGAAAGAATTATACTTAAAGCGTTATCTATCTATTGTTTGTTACCAAAAATTATTTTGTCTTGGTATCAACAACATGAATAAAATAATTTTAATGAATTAATTATAAAATATTTTAACATTCGTTCGAAACTATTTTACTATATTTACTATAGTTTGGTTATGTTTATTCAATAATACAAACAAAATTCGAAAATCTCTCAGTAATATTATAAAAAATTAATGGGTAAAAACGATAAAGATTGTTTATAGTTCGTGAGGTCAAGGACAAAGTGCATTACTAATATGCTATTCATTGTTTTCCTTTTACATATGGAAAATTAAATGACTTTATAGGTTTTTTTTGGACATAGAAATTTTCGATAATTAGTTAAAACTAGCAACACAACAATCTACCTTTACCGAGTAGAAATTTAAAAAAAAAATGTTGAGAATATTCAAACTTTATATTTGTAAGCAACTATATAGAACTATGGGGAATATTTTTAAAAATATGAACGAATGGTCATTAATTACAAAGAATTGTTTTTTTCAAGTTAAAATTTACTTGTTAAAAATTAAACACTATAAGTTCTGAATCAAATTGTCAAAAAATTTGGATCAGAATTTTTATGGTTTAAAAGTTTATGTATTTTTGAAAAGATGAAAGAAAAGCGTTTATAGAGAATGATATGTTAAATATCTCAACATAGTCTCAACAATCTAGTTCAGACTGGTAAAACGACACCATCATCTGACTCATGAGTCAAATTCAAGAGTGTCGATATTTTTCTCGGGGAACTACTTCGGTTTCATCAATGATCAACCCAATGATCTTCGCACTCCACTGCCAATCAACTACTGCATGATTGAGTCGACTGCTTATCAAATTGCATACCCTCTAGTGAATTGTGAATCATAGGAAAGATTGGAACTTGAGACTAAGGGTTTAGTTTTTTCGACTCTATGAATAAATAAAAATACAAGCACTAATACACACAATCAACCATCTACAATAATTCCATGGAAAATGCCGTTTAATATTGTATATGTGTGATTTAAATATTGAATAACAACAGAAGGCAAAACATACGTATTGCAGATACCAATAAAATACAAGTGAATAATTTTTTTTAAAAATATAGTCATATGCGACTTGAAGTGAAATATCTAATCTTGAAAATTTCATTGATGATAGGCTGTACTTCGGCTATTATTAAGCAAATAATACTGTGAATGAGTATGATTTGTCCCTATTGTCCTCTATTAATGATGAAATAGAATCAATGTTTAGTATGAGTTCAACATTCTACTCGCATCCATCGATTCGTCTTTTTATAATTCTAGATAATATTAATATTTATCAAACATGAATATGTTTGATAAATTTAATCTGTGATACATAATCATCATTCAATCCATGAAGTTCTACAAAGACCAAGTATTGCATCAAATTCAACTCATAAAGATTGTCTAGATATGATTATTTATGCATTTGTAACTATTAATGATACTGTTTCGTATAATCTAAAGTAATTGAATATGAAAAAAACCGAGCTGATTATCAAGTATAATATAACTATTGATTTATATCTAACATATTTCTTTTGTCTATTATTCTTTCGTCGACTCTTATGAACAATTAGTTATAGTTCAACATTTATATTATTACACGCTCCCCTGTGCATAACTACATTAATATACAGAAATCTTTCCTTTACTATGCTTTGCCACTAACATTACTATTTGCATCTTCAGTCATTATTGAATATGAATAATGCGTATTGTTCAAAATTATCTCGCTGTATCTTGCTCTTATTAAGGGGGCACCCCCCTCAGAAACCAAGTTTGTTATTTTTCGTCCGACTTCAACCAAATTTTGGGAGAATGTTGGTCTAGGCTAGGATAGATTATAGGTGAAATATCTCCCCCAAACCTCTAGTATACTAACGAGTTATAGTCAATTTATTGGTAAAAAGTACTCTATACGCGGGCAGGATTTTCACCACGAGGGCTAGGAGCAAAGAGGCCGGGATGGTTTTAGGTTATAGAGTGGCTCTAGGACTCGGTCGTGACAGAGTCCGATTTTTGAATTTTCCTTCCTTTGTTTTTAAAAAATCTTATTTTCAAAAATTTTTGGACTCATAACCAAAAAAATCACCGATCAGAATGAAAGATATACGGTTTGGTATTTCAGCAAAAGAGAAATTCAAAAATCCGGCTCTGTGATGACCTAGCCCTACCTGTCTACTATACAATAAAAAAATATATGTCACTTCTATACCGAGTCGTTATGATGAAAAGCCTGCCCGCGTAAACGACATGCTCGAAAAAGCTGGTTTTGAGAAAAACGAAAAACAAAATTTTTGATGGAGTTAACGTCTTTATTCGAAATAAATCTGTTTATTAGTTTAATATTTCTGCACTATTCGTCAAGCTTTATTACTAGCGCGTATGTAGATATATCGTAATACGGTTAGAAGTACATACCGTGCCTAAACTATGATCATGGTTCCTTATACATAGATGTCACTTTAAGTCACGCATGTTTGTATGAATTTTTCGGTTAACTCAAAAGATTAAATTTTTATGGAATATGTAACTAGTCAAGATCTTTTAGTTCTGAAAGTTTCAGCTCTATAGCTGGCAATAATGAAGTACATCGATTTATTTGAAATACATAATTTTCCTAACTTGTTTTTTTTGACTCATTTTCAGAAAAAGTTAGGTACGAGTATTTGTGTATCTCAACTTGACTGATATATTTTACCATTAGTGCTAGCTATACAGCTGAAACTTTTGGGATTAAAAGACCACGATTGGTTACACATGTCATAAAAATTTCAGCTCTGTCAGGTAAACAAAAGTATGAAAACTATCATTAACAGTATATCATCAGTTATTACGCAACACTCTTTATTACTCATTATCACATCTTCAGAAAAAACCTCCCTACAAAAATACCCAATCTTCATGTTTCGCGGGAAAAAACTATGCTAAATTGTAGTCCGTTACAAGACCTATCAGAATATGTATAAATCCTAAAATCGAAATTTTTCCGAAAAATTGACTTTCCTGAGGGGGGGGTCCCCCCTTAATTCATTATTGCGTATATTGAGTTCTTTATCGCCCCATAAACATTCATATTACGACTTTGAAATATTTTTCAATGTTAACGACTGTTGCCTGTTCCACCGATCATGAAATGTGAAATATTACGAACAACTAAACAACATCCAATTACAGACGAAAAATGACATCTTGATAAAGATATAATATGTCTTCATCGAAGAATCTTATTGTTCCATAGAAAATACTCAAACGAAACTTATAAGCATCATGTATTAAATCAAAACATTACTTATGCTGATTTAAAACAATATCTTAATAACCAACAGCATCATAATGTTGATATGTGTTCGTCAATATTTACCGCTGGCTTGCCATGTAAATAAAAACGATTCAGTGTTCTTTCCAAATATCATGAGTCATTTTGTTTGTGAATATTATAGTCCGAACGTGTCAAATTCTATTTCAGATCACCAGCGCTTCTAATGATCGGTACTCAGCATAGTAATACTCACTTAGGTATCTTCTATATCGTCTCAAAATTTCTCAAAAGTAATATTGGTTAGCAAACAAGTAAAACATTGTCTTCGACCAGTTTCGACTAGTTAATATTGTTGTTTTTTTGATAGTAAACAACCGCTTCTCGTTTTATGAGGAAAGTTGCCTAATTGATAAATCATTTGTGAGTCGAAACGATGTGCATTGTGTGTACCTCACTGATTTTTGAATATTCTGAAAAGATTTTATGCCCTTCGCTTATTACTGTCAAAATATTGTACTTTTATGATAGTTTTTGATGAATGTTGTGATCTCCTTCAGGAAGAATTATTTTTGAATTTCTACTTGAGACCTTTTACAGAGGTAGTTCTTACTGCGAACAGTTTATTCTGAAAGTTTCAAATCTTTTATTTTGCTATTATCCAGAAATAAGAACATCAAATTTATCATTATATGTATGAGCGATGGAAAAGATATGTTTTACCATAAGTATATCTCAATGTGGGAACAATGACATGATCTGAAACATTTACAGGTAACTATTGTCATTATGAACTATCACTGTGCAAAGTTTCAAGTCGAAATTTGAAAGTCACTTTTCCAATGTTTCTGAAGAAGATCGCGATATTCATTTGAAACCTATCGTAAAAGTACAGCATATCAGTACTAATAAGCTAAGAACCAGAACTATTTGCACGGTGTTCATAGTTGATTTCGATCTACATACTGCATATAGTTTCGACTCAAAAGCAATTCATCACTTGGGGAAGTTATCTCGTTAGATAAAACAAAAGCGATATATCTTGCTTTTCATCATTTATCCCTCATATATATATATATATGAATAAAAATAATTATATCATTCGCTGAATTTGCTTTACTTTTTTTTAATCAAAAAACGAAAAAACAAAACACAAAACTTAAAAATTGACTTGTTGTCGAAAATGATGTTGATGCATATTATTTCTTACACCAAGTTTCATATTCTGTTTTGCTTTCCATTGTTGCATATATTTAAGATCACGAACTTTTCGTTGAAATACTTCTCCTAAAAGATTCAAACATGTTGATTCTATTTCATTCTATATAATTAACAAACCTGTTGTTCCTGGACCAGACCAACCGAGTGCTCGATATTTATCTTTAATTCTATTGACAAGTTCTAATGATCTTTCATTATTTCGATTTGCTAAACTTTGACGATAATATCGAACGAGTGTTCGATGTCCAACTTTTTTACCAGATGGTAATACTAATTCATAACCAGTAGTATCAAGAATATCTTCATCGATTTCTTCATCAAGATTTTTTTCATTTGAATCTGGATGACTTGTTCTAGATATTCAATTCAAAAAGAAAGAAATAATTATTTTGTTTTATTTGATAAAACTTACGAATAATCATAAAAATCTACATATTCCCATGCTGAATTTGGATTTTCATCAAAAAGTATTTTACAATGACCTTTATCAATCATATGTCGTTGAACGGAAAGAACATCATGAAAAGATTTTTTATTACACCATAAACATACATGAAATATACCAATTTTTTCATCTATATATTAAAAACAAAAATCAATCAGAAATTATTGGCAATTAAAATAAAATACATACCGAGATATTGAATTAAACCTGTTAAATCTTTAATATATTCAAAATCTGGTAAGAAGAAACTATGTGCATATGCCATATGACTTAGATTTTCTTCAAGATTGGATGATTTTAATGAGCAAAAGAGACATTCTTCTAAATGTAATGGTGTACCAAGTATTTGAGTTTCACCTTCCATTGCCGAAGCATCTAAATAATAATTTGACATTCTTACATTTGTTTATTAAAATATTTCAATTACTGTAGAAAATAGGTCTTTTAAATAGAAGAATCAGTATTTTTAAAAGGAACTATCAGTACTTAGATTTATTGAATGTTTGTGAAGTTTCGAGATTATTTTTTTTCGAAGCCATACATTATGAAAATATGATATTTTTTTTGTAAGCTTTATTTCAATACATCTCAATATAAATCAGTTTATCGTTGGATTATTTTTTAAAATATTATTGTATGACAAGGGTTATCACAGAAACTCGTCAGCATCAAATAATTTCTTAGGGGATCTATTCATTTTCTAGTGAATACATTCATAACATAGCAAGACCGATTTTTATTGATAATCGCTGTTCTAAAATTTTTACAACTAAATAGCAACACTGGAAGGCTCATAGTTAGAACGATGGTTTTTTCATTTTATGCATCTAACTTTCGAATCACTATTTGGTTTCACTCTTTTTTTTACTTCTTAAGATTTCCTTTCGATTAATATGTCATAACAAAATCTTTATTATAGATTCGGCGACATCAGAAATCTCACAGGATCCGGCCGACCTAATTTGACATTGCGACAGACCGAGTCTTAGAAAAAAATCTGAAACTCTCAAAAGATGTTACGTATTTCTACTAAATTGATTTTCTTTTGAAAATCACAAATAAGGTTTGAAGCTGATAAGAGAAACATTATAGATATAAAATATGACTCGAAAACGGATATGTAACTAGTTTGTGAAGTTTAATGAATATAACATGTTAAACGGTTGAATTGAGTGTTAGATTTTTTACATGATCTACTTAGAAGATTTGAACTTTGAGAGCATGATGATTACTATTCTTGAAAATGAAATTCAAATTTCATAGTTATTTTCCAAAGATATTGTATTAATATCTACTCTATAAAAATTGACCATAAGGATGAGTACTTTAAAATCGATATCATACTCATCAAATTTGAGAAACGAATATATAGAAATTTTCAAACGTTATATAGATTTTTCTTTTCAGCTGTAGCATATTGTACGACCTTGCTTTTGGAAAATATCTGTTGAAAATGTATACGTACTAGTCATTGTAGCTCCATCATCCATATCATTCCAATCATCATCATTATCTTCTTCTTCTTCTTCTTCCATATCTTCTTCTTTCGGTGTGTCTTTTGATGTATCTACTGAAGACTTCTGATATTCATTTGGATTTTTCATCTAAAAATCAAATAGAATATTATTGAATTTCTTTCTTTCTTTTTACTTACTGGAAGAGTAGCATGTTTAGCAACAGTATCAATATGTTTTTTAGATTTAATATGATTTAGAAGACCATTTTCTGAAGTAAAAGCTTTACCACAATCTTTACATGTTAATCCTGTTCGATTATTAATATCAAAATTTTTTTCTGCACGTTGTTGTTGTTGTTGTTGAATAGTTTCGACTTTTTCTGTAAATTCATTTGCTGTAATTGGACCAAGATCAGCTACTTTACGTTTGAGATTATATCGATGCCAATCAGTTTTATAATGTGCACGTTGTAATTCACCATTAACAAAAGCAACATGACATGTAATACATGTATATGGTGAGGATGAAGACATTTTCTAGAACTGTAAGAGTATAAGAAATCAGTTGTATGATTAAATACGAAAAGTTATTACGCAAGGTACCACCTAGTCTTTAATGATAGATGAATTTGAAGTACCAATCATAACTGAGCTTGACATTTTATTTTATTTTTTTTTTTGTTCCGTTAAGTTTTTCTTTGTTATATTTATTTCAATCATTTATGGAAATTGATTATAAATATACGTATTGTATCGAAGATATGGAAGATTTATGAACATGTATATATGGATGGAAAGGTTTTTTTTTTTTAAGTATAGAATTTATGCTTACTAGTGACCTCTTAGTGAACACCTATGCATTGAATTCAAAGAGATTTAAAGATTATAAAATAAAAACTTGGTATAAATATTAATACTTTCAGTTGAATTTTTCTATAAAAACTTAGTTTGAATACAAAAAATGATTTAAATTTTATTAATACATCAAATTAGAGTCTTACTGTTCTCATTTATACATTGATAATGGCAACAGTTATTGTGTTATTGATGTTTCTTTCAGACAGATTAGTACTCTTTTGATTATTCAATTTTATTTATCTATATATTATTCTTAAAATAAACCAACAAAACGAATCTCGAAGGAAATTTTCAAGTGCTTATTTTCTCAATTTTTGACAACTATAGTTTGGATTTTAAATCTCAATCAGCAAATACAAGTTTCATTGAATAACAAAACTCATTTATCTTTAGCTTAGGTGAGTTTTATTGTTTCATTTTTGTTGCTTCGATAGATCTAATAATTAAAATATATGATTATAATTTTTTGTCAATGTAAGAAAAGTAATTCATTAATAATATTCAAATATGATTATGCATGAGATATTTAATAAAAAAAAAAAACTGTTGATATAAGACGAATTATGCAAATTGATTCTCTTTCAATGGTGGATCTAGATTTTAGTAATATTAAAACACTACGATAGATGAAAACACGATCATAATCAAAGTAGTTGTTTTTCTTTCAAATCCATTAGAAGTATTATCAGCTTATTTTTTGATTCTTTCTTTGAAGAAAAATCGAATGGAGAAAATGGTCAACTTGATCGCCGTTTTCGAAATTCATGATTGATCTTTTTTGTCTATTAATTCAACATATATTTAGCAGAGAAAAATGATTTTAAGCTCGAAGTTTAATCATATTAAAATTGAACGTTTTCTTGTCTTTTGTTTGTTATCGATTAATTTAGCACAATTTATTAGAATTAAAATAGTGTTTCATTTTCATTGATATTGATCGTGTTTGTTTTTATACATGTACATATAGATGTTTATCTTTTTTGAAATGAAAATAATGTTTAAACGACACCACATCTGTCATTATCCGGCATAAATCTCTGCTTGTTTCTTATCACTAAGCGACATATATTCTCAACTTTCTTATTCTTGCTCTTCTTTTTTTCTTTTTGTCCTTCTTCCTTTCTTGTTCACTCGTTAATTCATCTTCGAAATAGGGAGGGAACTGTGTGTCAAACTCGTCCCTCGCAGCATTATCGTTGTCGGGTATACATCGCTCTTCGACAAGACGAAAAAAAAAAGAAAACGACTAAGTATCACAGAAAAGATGACTGAGAATGTGAAGAGTGCCGGATAGAGACAGAGATAGAAACGCTAGAAGATTATTTTCATCACCTTCATTTATATTGAGAGGGCTTTTTTTTTCTTTTCTTTTCTCTGTTTTTTTTTTGTTCAATCGAAATAAAAAAATTAGTTGCGGTATTTGTCTTTGATGATCTCTTTTCCTTTGGGATAACGTTGGCAAAAAAAAATGATCTGTCTTGCATCATGAACATCATTCTTTTCTTTATACTAGACAATAAGGTTTGCTTTTTATTCTATTGTTAAAGTAATAACAACGGACATTGGTCTTTTCCTCTATTCATCATTTGTTAGTAGTGCCTGTTATCAAGTGGATTCCTCTTTTCTGCATCTTCTTCTCCTTCTCTGTCTGATTTCTTTTCTTTTTTTTTTGCTTCTACTAGTGCTTGCGGTAGAGAACAGACATAACTGCAAATGAAGAAGCGATAGATAAGGACGACGCCATATTGGTCCATGTCTGTATAAGTGTGTTTTTTAACGCACCCAAGCGCGCTTCTTGCTTTCTTTCTCTATCCTTTTCTTTAGCGTTCGTTGCTTGTTGTCGACGCGCCAAGTAATCATTACTTCCCCGTTCTCTCTCTCTCTCTCTCTTTCTCTCGTTGTCGGCTTGAATTCTCGGTTGCACCCGACACAGCAATAGTAGCTACCATTGCTCTTCTTTTCCTTTATTGTTGTTCTTCTTCTTTTTTTTTTCAAAAAAAAACGACTATAATTCGCATTACTAGAATTATGATTATAGAAAAGCAAGCGCAGTGTTAGCGGCGGCGAGGCCAGCCGTCGTCAATAGTACATGGTGAAAAGAATGGAACGCAAAGAAAATTATCATTAACAATAGAGCTGTTCATCAGCATCGCATCATCATTGTTGACTGACTGGTCCGAACCCCAGTACGACGTGTATTCGCTTTCTTTCCTTTTCTTCTCCTCTTCTTCTTCTTCTTCTTCTGCTTGTCTTTCTCTTGTTCGGAAAAAGATCTTTACACATACTGCCATCGCTCTTTTTCCTCTTCTTTTCTTTCTTTCTTCTTCACTCTATTGCTGCCACATACATGCAGACTTTTCCTCTCGGTTGCTGTTGCCAGTCGGGCAAGCTTTTCTTCTTTGCTGTTTCACCCCAACTCGTCCGCTCGCTCGTTCGCCCGAGCAGCAACAGCAAGTAATAGCGTCGTCGACACATCCTAGTTTTTCTTTTTTTTTTCTTGCTTCCCGGGTATTTTTTTGAAAACCTGAAAGAAACTAGTAATCGTGTGAATGTATGTGTGTGTTTATTATTTTGCCACATCTTAAAAGAGATTGCATAAATGATAAAATTTTAGACGAAATCTTATTTTCTATACAATGTATGTACGTAATAAACAGAAAATAACATATCAAGAACGACACAACAATCATCATCATTATCATCGTTATTTAAACTATAAAATCAATGATCACGTCTATTGTTCATTATCATTATTATCATTATCTTCTTGATGGTCATTTGTTACTTGTCTATTTTTTTATCGTACAACAAAACAGATCGAGTAAGACAAATATGAACAAAAATAAAATATAAAACGAACAAATAAACAATGGAGAAAAAGAAAAGAAAAGAGAACTTTTATTTTTGGTTTTTTTCTTTTTTCATGCTCGTTTATGTGTGTATGATGTTATTGCCTATGTTGCAGAGATTGGCAAGTCTTCTTCATTGTGTGCGTGTCGTTGTTGTCGTGTAGGAATAACATGTTGAGGAAGAGAAGAAATCGCGCGAGTGCGTCACTCGATTCGAACAGAGAAGAACACGCACGTACACTACTACTATTGCTGCCATCGATGACGATGATAGTGTTAGTATAGTACCGGTAATAGTGACAGTAAAAAAAAGCAATAGTAGATTGTATACATACATTGACTGTCACACAGTGTCGGCGTCATCATTCTCGTCTCGCAAGAAGGAACACGAGAGAGAACGAACAAGGACTATTGTGACGCACGCACGGCTAATATTACTGGTTAGATAACAACGAGAATTTTTTTCTCGATTTGATGTATTTTCTTAGCCATGGTTGTACTGTGGGATATCGGTTTGATTGTATTGAGTATTACAAAGATTTTTGTTTTCTATCTATATGAAATTATTGAAGAAAAAAGTTTTCAAATAATTTTAAAAATCAAAAAGATTGGATTGATAGAATAGAAATTAAAGTACTTTTTTGTTTTCTTATTCAAAGGTTTATTCAACAATCTCAATTCGTAATTAAATCAATTTTTTTCTTTTCTTCGTTTTTTTCCCGTTATTTTATTCCTTACCTTTTGAATCAATACTAAATCACAATGAATGATATTGAAAGCTTACGTCAAGAAGCCGAGTCGCTCAAAAATCAAATTCGTGTATGTATAAATTAATATTACTTTCAGTTTTGGCATTCAAATGATTGTTGTTTTCTTCTATAAAGGATGCCCGAAAGGCTGCTTGTGATGCTACTCTATTACAAGTAGCACAAAATGTCGATCAAATTGGTCGTATACAAATGCGTACACGTCGAACACTCCGTGGTCATCTTGCCAAAATTTATGCTATGCATTGGGGATCTGATGCAAGGTTTGTATGAAATTTTTAACATTAATTATTCATTTGATGTTTCTCAACTTAGCACGTCCTCTAGAAATCTCGTGTCCGCTTCTCAAGATGGTAAACTTATTGTATGGGATTCCTATACTACTAATAAGGTATTGTTTCCATTTGATAAAATAGTGCATATATAATTTTTATTTTCAATTTAAGGTTCATGCTATTCCTCTTCGTTCATCATGGGTAATGACATGTGCTTATGCACCATCTGGAAATTTTGTTGCTTGTGGTGGTCTTGACAATATATGTTCAATTTATTCATTAAAAACACGTGAAGGAAGTGTACGTGTTAGCCGAGAATTACCCGGTCATACGGGATATTTATCATGCTGTCGTTTTCTTGATGACTCTCAAATAGTGACAAGTTCAGGAGATATGACATGGTTAGTATTAAAATATTCTTAGTTGTTTAATATTAATTTGTTTATTTAGTGCTTTGTGGGATATTGAAACTGGACAACAAACAACTAGTTTTCAAGGACATACAGGTGATGTTATGTCACTTTCATTATCACCCGATATGAAAACATTTGTTTCGGGTGCTTGCGATGCATCAGCCAAAGTAATTCGAATAATCAATTTATTTAAATCATAATTTCCGTTTTTTTTTTCTTCTTAGCTTTGGGATATTCGAGAAGGCATGTGTAAACAAACATTTCCCGGCCATGAGTCGGATATCAATGCTGTGACCGTATGTTGTTGAAGATTTTTAGAAAAAAAAATCTATTGTTATAATATATATATATATATAGTTCTTTCCAAATGGATCGGCATTTGCTACTGGATCAGACGATGCAACTTGTCGTCTATTCGATATTCGTGCTGATCAAGAAGTCGGCATGTATTCACATGACAATATTATATGTGGTATAACATCAGTTGCCTTCTCGAAATCGGGTCGTCTTTTATTGGCTGGTTATGATGATTTTAATTGCAATGTTTGGGATACACTTCGTCTTGAACGTGCTGGTAAGTTTTTATTTATTGGTTTTATTTTTAAGCTAGTCTTTTTTTTTCCATTTAAATAGGCGTTCTGGCTGGCCATGATAATCGTGTCAGTTGTCTTGGTGTAACCGAAGATGGAATGGCTGTAGCGACTGGCTCATGGGATAGTTTTTTGAGGATTTGGAATTAGCCTCAATTTCTATAAACTTTTTAAAAGAAAAGATCTACTTTGCCACATCAACGACGACAACAACAAGAGCCGGCCTTCTTACCTATTTTCCTTCAAGCAATACAAAAAAAAACTTTTTTCTTGGTTTATCTCTTTTCTCTCTGACTCTCTAGGCTGGTGGACATATTTTTTGTACGTTTGGTATTGCCAATTTTGCTTGTTGTCCTTTTTTTCTTTTTTCTTTTTGTTCTTGTCTCTGTTGTACTCCTGTTGTTGTTCTTTCTTTACAGTGGTGAAACAACGTCTGCCACATACACACACACTCACGTACATTCATAAGTTTGATACGGGTTTTAGTCTTGCCTGAAATTCTCTGTCTCTCGTTCATTTTTTTCTTCTGTAAGCTGCTTTTTTTTCTGCTTCTCACCTCTCATGATCTTCTTTTATTATCATCAACGGCTGTCTGTGTGTATGTGTCTTTCTAATTATCGTATCGTTATGGACCGGAATCGTGTGAACATAGTTCTCACACCAGTCTCCTTGTCCTATTTCTCTGCTGTTGTGTTTGTTTCTCTTCTCAGAGCGAAAGCAGTTGTTCTAGTCGTTTTAATCAGCGCGTGTATCATTATGTTTTCTTTTTTCTCTTCTTGTCTCACTGCTCTATGCTCTGCTGCTAAATTTCTTTTTTTTCTTCTTGCCGCTTGATCTGTTGATGTGTGTGTGTGTTTCGCAGAATGAAGACTAACACAATGTATTTGATGTTTTTTCTTTTTTCTTTGGTTCGCTCTTTTTTCTTTTTTTTCTCTTTCTCTTATTATATACTTACTTATTTAAAATACACACTCAACAGTCTATACAAACAAATAGAAAAAAAAAAAAAAAACTTTAATTCTTTATTTGTGTTGTTAACCATTGATATAATTGATCAATATTTTGATTTTTTTTATTTAATTGATATGAATGATAAGCTTGTTGACAATGAATTAATATATGATTAAATATTAAATAGAGATTATCAAATGGTATTTGCTGATTATTAATTGAATCATTTCTATTAAATGTTTTTAATAAGTTTAACAATTCCGATAAAAACCAATAATGATTTTTAATAATTACCGATCGACCACATTCAATAAATATATGATTATTTTTCATTGAAAGAGAAAATGCATTTGTTTTTTGAAAAAATAATACTAAATTAATAATAAAAAATAACATTTACCGAATAGATTATATTTGCGCCATTTCGACTTTTCTTTTTTTAAACTGATCTAGTTTAGTTTATTATATTTTTATTTTTCAATATGGAACGAAGATCAAAAAAAATTAACGAAGGGAAAAAGAATAGAGTTCGAGCAATAATGCACAAGTGCATCTAGAAGAGTGTGAAACTATTAGATCATCGTAAAGACCTAGTGTTGAGGCATATCATTCAAGTACAATCTCCAAATCTATAATGGACCTGGTTACGGTCGTAAGCATAAAATCGTTCATACCATTAGGAGACCACTTTTTCGACGAACCATTTATCCACTCATTGCGGATTCCATTTTTCTTACACCAAATGTTTGCGCATGACTTCACATGATTAGTCATTCTTTGAAGCTTAAATGACTTTCGACATTGTGAACAAGCGTATTCATTGTGTTCATTCTGGGGAAGTTTTTCTGCTCCTCTGTCATGAATTGTTGCTGCCATTTTTTTTATAGAATTTGGCTACTTCTTCTGCTCGTCTCTTTTGTGCTTGATTTTTATAGTCATTTATAATAGAATTGATGTCGCAGTGGATTGATTTCACATACACATGTTCATTTATCAGTGCATACAATTGGTTCTCGTTTAACCTTTTGACTACCATAGTATAAAAAAAGCTACACATGTTTTGTTAATATTTTTCATAACGTAATTCATAGAAACTAGGGTGTGGGTGTGAGTGTGGGTGTGTGATAGTCTTCCGGCCTCACCCACACCAACACTCGATTCAAGTATAACAAAGTTCAATGTGACTTACATTCAGCAAATCACATGCGAGAACACATGAGATATGTTTGACATATGCTCTTATATCTAGAACAAGCTAATTTAATGGTTTACTCCAATTCAATCCAGCAAAAAATAATTTGGTAGTCGAAGGGTTAATATGTTTCTCTTCTGGTTGCTAATGTGCCACTTTTCCATATCATTCATAATTTTATCTTTGCAATGTTTATGTGCAACAGCGTTTTTTGATCGTTATTTATATTAACAAAGGGAAGTCCATAGCTTTCAAAACGCTTTTTTTTCACTAAATGGCAATCAACTATACTGATTCCGAATATTAATACGAGACTAGCAACCAGAACACCAGAGATCTAGTTTTTGGAAAATCAGTTTTTCCTTAGCGAAAAACTTTTTTGATTCATCCAGATTATAGAGTACATCGAGTTGCCTACAAAACACTGTATTTTTTCATTTTTTACTCGGCTCTAATAAAGTTTACAAGCAAGAGAACTTCTTACATTTGAATCATACTAACTACTTGTTTAATGCTATGATTTTACAATGAATCGTATATGAATAAATGATTTTTGTTCATTTCAGATATATAGTCACATTTAGTAGTATCTAGTTCTTGTAATACATTCAGTGCAAATTATACCTGTCATTCATTATTTGATAGGAAAAGTTTGAAATCTCGTATGCTTTCTCCTCATAACTCTATGGTGTCATTCTATTAAAACTGAGAAAACATCTGAACTGTCTAATTGCTTATTTCACCGAATCTAGTGGGTGTACAATGCTTATCTGAGCAGGCACACACACTTCAAGTACGAGTGACATTTATTTTTCAAATTCATTTCTTTGAAAAAGCGAGAAAAAAAATAAAACGGCAAATATTTTTTTTTGCTGTAAAAATCAGTTGGAAAAAGAAAAGAATTATGTTGTTCATGTTCTCGGTAATTAAGTCTCAAACAGATAAAAATAATGTTTCACAGTCAAATCGACGTGATCTACAATCCGGATAGAACAAAACGTTTTTTTCTTGGAAACACTGGTTTTCAAGAAAACGGGTCTCTGGAGTCCTAACTAGTAGTCTTGTTTTGATGTTCGAAATCAGCATAGTTCATTGTTTTCAGCTCACTAGATTTTGTCAAAAAAAGTGATTAGACAGCTAAGGGCTCTCTCTCGTCAGACAAAGTCAGATTAGTACGACACCTACTATGAACGAAATATGTTTTCATTTGTCTATTTAACTTTTTTTTCAAATTTAGAACTGGACAAAGGGTATTTATTAATCGCATTCTTTTCCTCTATGATGCCTATGCACTTTTCATATCCGAATACGAATACAACAGGACATTATTTTTATGGAACAACTGTCTATCCGAATTTTGGAATTAATTATAATCCATATTTTTCATCATTTTGTTCAAATTCAAATGGTCTTTTACCAACACCATCACAAGCACTAGTACCAAGATCACTTGAACAAAATAAAAATTTAAATATTCGTGAAAATAAACGAGTAGTACCAAAAACTAATTCATCTCTTCTATCTCATGAAAAGGCAAAGGATATTGATTCAAATGGTTTTTTAACATTCATTGAACAAAAAACAAAACCATTATCGGATTTGAATCCTTTTGCTAATGAATTTTCTTTCGTAAAGAATAATAATCAAATAGTAACTACAAGCATTGAAAATAATTCATCATATAAATTAATATTTGATGATTTAATTGAACAAAGTCTTCAATCAATTGAAGCTATTAAAAAGGCATCAAAGTACATTTTGAATAATTTTTCATTTTTCCAAATTTAGTTTGTTGGTTTTATTTAAAATAGAAGAGTTTCTGTTAATCATGTTTCTGTTCAATATGATCAATCAATCAATCAAATTGATCATTCAACACAAACAAATGATGATAATAATCAACATTATCTGCTTGAAGATTATAGCTCATGTGCAGTATGTATTTAAAGAATGTTTCTATCTTAATTAATATAACACTTCATTATATGATCTCTGACTAAATATATTCAATATAAAACTGGGTAAAATGAATTTTACCGTATATTCTTTATCTAATATATATAAACTTTGCACATAAAATATCTCTTGATATTTTCTGATTATTATAAAAGAATTTTAAAGCAGATTAGGAGTGTGTCGAGGTCATCGCCATTGAGTGTAGGTCGACTACTAAGAAAGTAGTGCTCGCAACATTGGGAAAGGGGTGATTCTTGTTGCAAGAGTTGGTGAGCAATTAAACGAAGAAAATCGTTCAGTTGTGCTAAGAAAAGGTGAAAACTTTCTAAGGTTAAGGGTTCACTATTGGGTTGGTCTTGAAATCATTTAGGTCAGGGTAGAAAAAAAAGCATCTGGCATGTTCAGGGAAACTATTCAATTCTAGGATTCGAAAATTTCTTTGAGAATATCAAAGTACGATGCAACCGGGTCTAAGTACACAAAAATAGACTCGATAGTTGTCTAGGGGCTACTTCCGATATCTCTAACAAAGATAATATTGAAAATATCGTTCTATCTACTTTTGACATTGATATAGACTCTGTCTAGTTTGAGAATGGTTTTTTGTGCACAAATAAGATATTATTAATGTTGAAAACCTAATACTTTTTTGTTTAAGGTCAAATTGATGAATAAACTATTTGAAAATTTCAAATATTTATTATTACTATCAAATGACAATAATTTATATAATGAATTAAAATCGACAAGCAATGTATTAGATGAACTTCATTATTTAATATTAGTTACTAATCAGATAATAACATCAAATAAGTCATCAGTGAATAGAGATAATCTATTTAGTAATATGATAAAAGGTCTTTCAATTCAATCATCACCAATTATGCTTGAAGAAGACAGACGAACACATCGATTGATTTCATCCTCAATAAGCTGTTCATCAATACCATCAGTTTCTTCTCGACAGATTGATTCAATAATGATAGTTAGACCAAAAGTATCTACATCTTTTTGTTTTTTATTTTTTGATAACTATAGATTAATATTATGATTATCATTTTTTTAGATGTGTTTACTCTGTCGGAAACCTGTCGATGATAGTGATGATGTCATGCATGATTTAGTATGTTATATAATTTATCTTTTGAATATTAAAATTTCTATTTATAATTTAGTGTCGATTATTATCATCTCCACCCGATATTTCCAATGATATATAGACTCATCAAATTTTTTTTCTTATTGAAAAAATTCGATTAAAGATGTTTTTTTTTTTGTTTTTGCTCTTTATTGTGTTTTTTTTCGTTAAACTCTTTACATATGATACTATGAATATGCATTACTGTTGGTTTCTCTTTTTTTGTATGAATAGGCAAAAAAAGATATGCGTTGAAAAAACTTAGTTTGTTTTATGTAATTTTTTTTTTGTTTTGTTGTTGAAATTTTTCATGAAAGATATTTAGAAACATGTAAAAGCTTGTATCTATAATATTATTTGAATAGAAATAAATTGAAAACTGTATTCATTTGATCTATTCAACATTGATCCAGTCTTCATTTTTAAAACTATATTAAATAGTTACAATTAAGTATAGGCCTACGTGCGTATTAAATAAATAAAAAATTCTCATCTAATACAAAACTCAAGGTAAGAACATCAATTGTTCACTTTATTCACTATCGATTTATTTTTTTCCGGGACTTCACTACTTTGCTTTATTATTACCAAAAGTGAACTATTGTATAAAAAAAAGAAAAAAGTTTTGAACAAAATGAATGCTCTACATTAAGTCTCTACGAAAAGAGCCTAATTGATATTAGTTTTTCATTTAAATTCAGAACTTTCATTGACTATATCAGTTTATCCAATGGAAACTTAAAACGAAATATTTTTTCACCCTTTGCCTGAATGTTTTAACTTTCTTTTCGTCAGCATAGTGTTAAAAAAGCCAACTTTTTTACAATTTAAAAAACAAAAAATTATGCTCGTATTTTTTCTTGAAATAGAAGATATAAACTCTTACTCATTATGGAATTACTTCAACTAACATTCGTCGTTTGAGCTCATATTGAACTCACAAATGCGTCTAAGTGAGAATAGCTAAAGTCGAAAGGGTTCCTCTTCATGGCTTGTGTCGTCGAGTTATGACTGATTTAGAAAAGCTTTGAACCGTTTTCAAGTATCTAACAAAGGAATATTCTTTTCTGCTGAAAACTTTAGAATACTATTAAAGTCATTAGACCTATCTAGAGACAAAATCTTAGACCGAAATTCTGTTATTTGATTTTTTTCCGAAACCATCTGTAAATGAATCAAAAATCCAATAAACCGACCATAACCTGATGCCAAAGGCCTGTGCTCATCCAATCTTGAAGAACGCTTGTTGTTCTCCAGGTGGATTCTAGGATTTAATAGTTTTTATGCTCATAATTTCCAGAATAGCCGTCAACTTCTCCCCCAGCCTCAAATCTAGTTAACTTTAGCAAAAACCTTGTAATCGGCCTCCTAAGTTATGGACTCCCTCTCCTTCAATCCTAGTGGTCTCAAGATACTTTTGTTTCTGACTGAGATTTTGGAGATTTTATAGTAACTATAAGATGCATCTATTGATAAAATTTCAACTCGAAAATTGATCAGCTATGATATCAGCGATTCTATATTTACAGGCAAAAATAAAGTACAACACTCATAACTTCACAAGCCAAAGCCACAATAGCAAACAAAAATAGATTTTTTCACGACTTATTATGACCGACTTAGTGGCGACAGTTTCAAGAAAAAAACAGTTTGAAAATTAGAAACGTTCTCTTGTGGGTGAAAAATTATAATAAACGAACGAATATATTACAGTATAACTTTTAGACCAGATTGATTCATATGTTCTTTTTCTGAAACTGAATCGACTCAATATTATAAAAGTTCAAACTGAACCAATTTCGACTATATTCTATTTCGAGCCAAACAGATCTTATGCCTGATAAACAACAGCTGATGTAGCAAACACAAGCTTTTATTTGAATACAATTGGAATTTTAAAGGAAATGGAATCAATATGTAAATTACTTCAGTCAAGTATACATAGTACACTCTGTTTTTCTGATCATCTATTTGTAAAAGAACGTGTTTTTTTTCGGAATTAACCCATATTCTGTATATTGTACTTCTTCATGAAACACCTATTCAGAGTTTTCAATCGAACTTATAGGCTCCTATAGAAAAAGTAATATACAAAAATAACGTACAGATAATGATAAAAAAAATAAACGTTTGAATCTGATTAGATGTAAGAAATATTTCTCTGAGTTAATTTTTATTACCATGTGTATATAAGAAATAAAAAAAGAAATACAATAAAAGCAATTATTATTGCTCTTGTTCATACGTGTTAATGCATTCATCGCAAGATCATGAAATAGAATCGATTGAAATTCATGATTTATATAAGTCCAAACGAAAAAATTAGCAAAAAACCTTGAAAGAACAAGCAACATTACAATTTTCAAACAACAAGAAGAGAGATTTCGATGAGAACTTTAGTAAGAATAAATGACAATTCATATTTTATAACTTTATCTGGAACCGGAATATATATATATATATAAATACAAGAAGAATACGAACAACTTGTTCAATAATTTTACAACAAAGAAGAGAAGTATTTTTTCTACCTATGAGAATATCATTACGATAATTTGTTTTATTTTTGCAGTAAAATGCAAAACACAGTACTTTTTTAAAATCTTAAGTATCTTGGGTACTTTGCTTTTGCTGGGAATATTTAAAATAAGAAGTGCTGCACCTGTTACTGGAAGCATTTGATCACATATTAAACTGTAATAAAATCGATAATACATGGTCGATAGATGTCAGTTTCAAGCATAAATTCTATTTACGTTCATTTATCTTATAAAGGCAGAAATGAAATTTTTTTTCAAATAAATTTTCAAATAAATCTTATTTAGTCAATAACACATAAAATGATGGAGGCATTTAGTAACAATATATCTGTCCAACAATAAATACTAAACGAACGAACGAAGGCAAAACATTGTCGTCTTCTTAACAGAGGTATCATCATTCTAATGGCGATAGGTTGTATTGAATTGCACCATCATATGTGAAGTTAAAATTGTTTGCCTTGTTGATTCATTTGCTTTCTATTTAGTCAGATGATAAAATTGATAAACAATGTTCTTTTTTTTGCTTTCTTTTATAAATTTTATTATTGTTCTAGAACTTTAACATATTTCAATCTTAATTGTTGACATGGCCGAGAATGCTGCCCATGATCATGATGATGATGATTTCCAGACTGGTGATGCCGGAGCATCATCCACGTGAGTATTTATTATATGAATTATTATTTTTTTTAAATACATTCTTTTTTACATAGTTATCCTCAACAATGCTCGGCTTTACGAAAAAACGGCTTTGTCATGTTAAAAAGTCGTCCATGTAAAATCATGGAAATGTCAACATCAAAAACAGGAAAACATGGACATGCTAAAGTATAAAAAAAAAAAAAACAAATACAAATAATTTCAACACAATATATATAATATTAAAATTTGTTTTAGGTTCATTTAGTTGGTATTGATATCTTTACAGGTAAAAGACATGAAGATATTTGTCCATCAACACATAATATGGATGTTCCAAATGTCAAACGTGTTGAATATTCGGTAAAATATATTTAATTTTGAAGATTTTTTATTTTCATTTTTTATCATATAGTTAATTGATATTGATAATGATGGCTATGTATCACTTATGGATGATAGTTCGGATACACGTAGTGATATCAAACTTCCAGAAGGTGAACTAGGTCAAGAAATAAAAAGCAAATTCGACAGTGGTGAAGGTATTAAGGTTACTGTACTTCAAGCACTTGGCGAAGAAGCAATAATAACTTGCAAAGTTGAACAAGATTCAAGAAAATAAAAAACTCCATTTTTTTTTGCTACTGTATCTTCAACAGATTAACAATGATATTCTATGTGAAAAAAAAAGAGTTGTTGTTATTGTTGTTGATCAGAATGAAAGAAAAAGAAAAGAAGCAAATACTATAATCATTTTGTGTAATCATTTATTCAAGATTTTTTTGATCGTTATCGTTTTTTTCCTTCACACTAAATTGGATGTCTTTTTTTAGCTCAAAAGAAAAACGAATTTGCAGACTAAGAATATGTATCCTCGAAAGTTGTGATAGATTACCTTGGTTAAATAAATTCTGAAAAGGTTTTTCTTGTTTCTATTGTTATTTTCTATCTGCCTAAAAAACGAGACATCAAATGGTTTAAACTTGTTTGTATTTATTTAGACAAAATAAAAAAAATAAAAAAATGTCTTGGGCTGAACGTTTATTACATCCGGATAATCCGGTTGTATTTTTTGATATAACTGTTGGTAATACAGAGATAGGAAGAATATTAATTGAACTTTATGCACATGCAGCACCAAAAACAGCAGAAAATTTTCGACAATTTTGTACAGGTGAATATAAAAAAGATGGTGTACCATGTGGTTATAAAAATGCACCATTTCATCGAGTTATTAAAGATTTTATGATACAAGGAGGAGATATTGTTAATGTAAGTTAAATTTTCAAAGTTTTTGAAATATTTCATTCTTTAAAATAGGGTGATGGAACTGGTCTAATGAGTATATATAGTGGAAAATTTGCTGATGAAAATTTTGTTTTTAAACATAATCAAGCTGGTCTTCTTAGTATGGTAAGATTTTTTAAGAACTATTTTTTAGAGAAAAGAAAAGAAATTTCTTGTATTAGGCAAATAGTGGAAGAGATACAAATGGTTGTCAATTTTTTATTACATGTACTAATTGTGAGTTTCTTGATGGAAAACATGTTGTTTTCGGTATGTTATTGATTATTTCGTATTGCTTTAATTGTTTTTCTTTTGTAATCTTAGGTCGAGTTATTGAAGGTATGTTAGTAGTACGAAAAATCGAAAATGTACCTGTAGCATTCAATAACAAACCAAAAATTCCTGTTATTATTTCTCAATGTGGTGAAATGTAATCTTCTTTGTTGTAAATAAAATAAAATATAGGAATAAGTTAATATATCAGAAAAAACAAAACTTATTCTTGATTTACTTGATAATTTTAACAGATTTAATCGGTTTTAAAATGGCTGTCTGGCATGAAATATAAGATTGAATTTAATTCAAATATCGATAACATTTAACAAAATTTAGAATCAATTAATCTTAATAATATATAAAACGAATGAAAGCATCAAATTACTGATAGAGAATATTTATAAACAATCTTTATCTAGACATAGTTGCTCGAAAATTTTCACGTATATAAGATAGGTGAGTGCTAATAATCCAAACATTAAAATCATGATGTTTTAGTTGAAAATCTTTTTAACTATTTATGCTTGTCTCATTAGAAGTATCATATCAATATCTTAATAAGGAATGAAATAATTTTTCAATTTTGTAAATGTAACTATACTAATTTCAATGAATTCTTATTCGAAACTTTCCAAGTCGACCAAAATTTCTGACAACCCATTCAAATCTTCTGATCGCATTCCTTATTTGAGGATTTTCATATTCATTAAAAGAAACACCAAAACCAGCTACTTTCATCATGACAGATGCATAAAGACACTTAAAAAGGCAACTTTTAAATATGAAAAGCGTCTAAACAGTTGTCTTTCAATATTTTTGACATATATCATGCATAAAAAATTTATTTCTATCTGCAAAACATAGCAAAATATTGCAGAGAATATGTTTTACTCATTTTTCAGATGCAAAAATTGTCTTTTTAAGTATCTTCATGCATCGTCTCTAATGAAAATAGATGGTTTTGATGTTTTCTGCATGGATGTAAAAATGCTCAAAGGAGAACCACGATTAGGATGTGGAACCATGCATGATTCAGATATGAAAGGCTAAAAATATCCTCTTATTCACTGGTCACATTTCTTATGTAAATATTCTTCCAACCTATGCTTTTTTCGTTCTTTTGTTTGTTCTGTGCTGCAAGATTATGTGGTTCTGTTTTCTTCTTTCTTATTCATAAACTATATAGTCAGCGTGTGAGGGTGTGACAGTCTATTCTTTACCATCACCGTCAAACTAATATTCTGTTGAGAGATCTTTTAAGTACTGTTTTTCGAGATTAAGACGCCACTCCACGTCAATGAAACAAAAGGAAATAGTATTTAGAAGACAATCAATTCACTTGTAATCTATATTTGAAAAGACATGTAAAAATTCTACAATAGGAAAACTAGCTAGACAAAAAGCAATTTCTGTTCAAGTCAAAAATTGCTATGCATTATCAAGTATTTATTATTAAAGAGCCACTTTTCATGATATAATCCAGCACGTTTATTTTTGAAACAGATGAAATATACTTGTATGTCACAGTTAGTTAAAAAAATAATTATCATTCCATCTTGGATGACTAAAGTACTATTAATTTTCTGCCATCAAATACATCAATATTTTTTAAATCAATTAAAAATTATCCTCACCTATAAGCTTAATGGGTTTTATTCATAACAGAGATCGGATCCATTCGTATTTTTGAGAACTAAACAAAATGGAATCGAGCAGAAAGAGTTCAATCTTATAATCGTTTAGGTATAGTCATTCATCTCAATCTTTCTTTAAAACAAGAAAATGAAATTTTCCATTCCTATTATCCTTTTATTGTACTTTTGCTATAGTTTTTTAAAATGCCTAATAACAAGTGTGCAAAAAATGAATGTGTTTTTCAATATTTGTATAAGGAATTTTTTATTTGATATGTAATCAAGAAAACAAGTGAATTTCGACAGACTATAAAATTAAAAAAAATTTCACGTGACAAAATATCTCTTTTATCTCCTTTATAACCTGTTCAGCTTTGATAAACAATAAAATCTTGACTAATAATTTACATGCACATGAAATAGTGTTACAAACAAAGCTCGATAAAATGAAATTGACGTCAATAATTCAATAGTGTTCACAAGCAAATATTTTCATCATCATGAAAAATCTTTGACATGAGACAAACAATAACTTAAAAGAAAAGTAAATTCTATTTGAATCTATTTTTTGAAAAAAATACATAATTAATAAAACACAGATTTCGACAAATTATATGAAGGTTCGATAAAGATGTTCCTTCTTCTTTTCTACGACTAGTACAATTTGTCTATGTCTTTCTTATTATTACTAATCATCAATCTATTAGCTATTCCCTCGACTTTAAGGATAAGGTCTAGAAACGAGAATACACTTTGTCTGTCTGCAATATATTTACCAATTGACAACTATAGCACAAATGATCATATGATAGGTACAGTACAAATGACAATGTACGATAATGAAAAAAAGCACCGATACATTAGGGTTCAAATGAACCAAGAAGTATGGTCCGAATACGAAGAATACAAAATCCATATACGATCACTTACGGTGAACTACTGAGTAAAACAGAATTTGTTAATGAACTTTCTAAAAAATCATATTTCTGATTATCACATATGAAGAAATACAATAGCAATACTGTACCATGTAATATACTACGGTCATTTACGAGTATGTTTGTTGCGCCTGGAATGTCTTCAGAAGTGTGGATCATTCTTATTAAATTATTGAATGGCTCAATAGATTGTTGAATACTGTGTACATGAGAATGCCATGTACTAATTATTAAGAGTTAGAGAGTATGTTTGAACAGATGATTATGATAAACTAAATTCACACTATTTAGAGTTACAACAGTGTAACGATAAAAAAATTAAAATTTTAGTAAAAAAAATAGCAACATTGCACCTTATAAACTGAACTGTATTAGACAAGTGTAGCATATTCAAAATCAATTTTTATGTTACGAAAAAATTTCTTTTGTGGGACGAATTGCTTGTGTCAATTCATTTCTTTTAGTTATTTAACACTTTATTGAATGTACGTTCATATCTCATCGTACCTATTTCTATCCCATCATTCCAGGACCAAGTCAATTGAGTCTCAATCAATATTACTTATTCTATATGCAATATGAAATGTTTACATGTCAACCTATTCAATCATAGACGGATGCAATCGTTATCAAATAAACTGAAAATTTCATTCTTATTATTCTTGAAGCATGACTCATTCTAAAAATAAAAAGTACCTCACTTGCTTGCTTTCTTTTGCTACTCTCTTTTTATTGGTTCGCAAAAAAAGGTATTATGACTCTTCACATACTATATACTTGACTGTTTCAGTTCATCAAGTGTGATTTAGCACTACTATATATTTAAATTAACTACGTAATAATAGATGTTAGTAAAAGAGCAAAAAAACGATACAGTGACCTATTATTAGTGAAGAGGAGAACACAAAAGCATATCAATGAGAGTGATGATGAGAAAGTTGTACCTGAAAATTCGCATATTAATATAAAACGACAATACTCCATTCGAAGCTTTTTAGAAAATCATCTTTTAAAAATATAAATTCCATCGTTGAAATACTGTAATATTCAACAAGTAGTTTTGTGTTCCAATAAAAATGAAAACAATTTACACAACTATATCATCCAAATCACTGCTCAAAAAGAAACAGCTAGATAGATTGTGACGAATAATTTGTATTAATGTAGTGTATTATCCATTGATCATCACAACTTCGAAGATTTTCTTTGTTCAGCATATTACACAAAACAACTGCATTGAAATTCTATCAAATATTCGTTACTAAAATAATTTGTAGCTTAGAAAGAAAAAAAATTATTAATATTCTGTGTTTCAACAAATGTGCGTCTAAAAAGTCGATGCAAAATTAATAAAACTGATTGAATTTAATTTAAAAAATAAAATTCAAATGAAATAAAGATAGATTCTAAGTTCTATTCATACCATATTGTCATGCAGAGAACAGTATTTCAAAATAAAATAAAATCAATTCAATTGTAGTAAAATTTCTTTGAGAATATTACATTCAATTAAAATACTTTTTAAACGTAGTCTCTTACTATTTGCATTGAATATTAACATAAACGAACATTCTCTCTTGCAATTATCATTCAAAATATGGTATTAAATTAATATTTGAAATAATTTTGCTACTACAATCATAAATATTCATATGAAATTTCGAATCGATCGTATATCTCATTTATATTTGACATGTCTAAATTATATGAAACACGATCTAAAAGAACTGTTAGAGTATAGGGGTAGGAATTTGAACCTCCTCCCTTCTCAGACGTGACAGACGCTATTGATATACGATCATAGATCATATATCAATAATGTCTCGTTTTAACATCTGAAATACTTTCTTTTTGCATTTGTGACGGACTAATTAAAAGGATAGTGAACGAATGTCACCCAAAATAGATAGAATAAAACATTCTTCCTGTGATTAGTAACAGCAACTACATCGTGTGTTATATTTTTATTCTGCAGCGAGTTCGTTAACCGCTTTGAATATATATGTTGAAGTTTCTTGAAGTCTCATGATGCCTATGAAAGTCTGCTGTTTCATATTCGCGAGAACCTTTAGTGATTTTCTTAATTTTTCTATTTAGTTTATAGATAGTAGCTTATACTGTGTCATAAGTCTCTTCTTTGACACATACCAATCTCTTCAATGAAAGTGTCTATTAATATGGCTATAAAAGATACATGATTTCTGTTGGTCGTCATATAATAACTTCTCTCACTAGTAATTGACCAGAGAACCTCTGCAGATGTCAAATTGCTATTCAATCGAGATAGTGTTCATTGGTTGAGTATTAATGAATAATAGAAAAGTCTAGAACGGTTTAGTATTTCTAAATCTTAGTTCCGAAGATATCGAAATTTTATTGAGTTTTTTAATAAAAAGTTGTGATTTCCTTCAGGTTATGTGGAAAATCAACTTTTCAGTTTCGACTTCAAACATTGCATGAATAAAGTTCTGAATAAGATTAGTTGATGGTGTATCTAGTGTTTTCTTGCTGGACATGTAAATATATGAACAAATTTTGCTTTTACACATGAGAGTATTGCACATATTTAATATTTCAAAATCGAAA